TTCCAAAGTACTTTTATAAAAACACAAGGCACTTTTACAATAACAAAGCTTTCAGGTGGATGTAGATGCGACACGGTGCGAGGTGTGTACAGTAGGTGATGCTGTTGGTGAGGTACTTTATGTTTTAAATATATATACTTAATGTCACCTGTCTTATTGTTTCATTGAATAGTACAATACTTAGCTTGGTCGATTCACAGCTGGATCTTCTCGTCTTAAGGAAGCTTCCATCAATGTTTACCGACAAAGCCTATGCCAATCGATGCTTCAAAAGTGACAATTAGGTGGTTTTCCACTGTATGTTAATGCGTGGGAAGGTAATTTAATTGCCTTGAGCCAATTGAACCATGCACTTCGAAACGCTGTGGCATCCAAAACGAGTGAGTCGGAGGGTTGATTGCTGTCACGGAAGTCTGGCACCGTTGGTGTTTTGCTGCCTGGAACGGCTGAACACGACACGGGAGCCCGACGTGCCACACGGGTGTAGATGATTCAACGGTTTTGGGATGTTTTGGGTAGACCAAAGTGACTCAAATCTTATTTCACCCCTTTTGGGCCAACAGGTAACCATTTGCTGTCATGAAGACTTGCGACTGGTGCACATATAGCTTCATAGGGCATAGGGCAAAGCTGAAGTTGACCATCCCAAAAAGGCATGGCTTGGGCAGGCTATTGGCACTCTGCGGCCACCCTGAACTTCCTCCGTGGCTATGCGGCTAATGGGGATCACACGCCTGTGCAAAGCATTGAGGCCACGGGGCTCGAACATGGGCCTGCGGGTAAAGCCAAACATGGCATAAGGGACATCAGACGCCTTGGGGAAGTTATATTAAAGGTATTAGAGCAGCTCGCTCGAGTCGTCCCGGAGAGCTTCTCAAAGTCAAACAACAACATGTGAAAAACATGTTTGGACATTGGCGCTGGCTTTCGGTGCTTGGGGCTTCGTCACTGGAGGTACGAAATCGATTCTGCGTCGTCAGCATACACACTTCACCCCGAAGAGACATGAGGAACACCATGTTTGTTCACCTTTCATGTGAGCTGCTGCTTCTGATGTAACGGAGGTTCTTCTTCCAAACACACGGACGGCCATGGAGGGCCTTTGTTTGGGGAAACCGCCGGCGTAGCCATAGCCTCCAAGACAGTCGATGCTGTCAGCACCTCATGCGTGGATCATTTGTCAGCACCTAAAGACTTTAAAGAAGGCAGCTTAAACACAAAGATCCAGACTCCGAGGGCTCCGAGGGCCTTGGTAGTGAGCACCCCCCCTCCACCACCCACCGGCCATCCGTTTGGCAGATCTCCGATCTCAAGGGCTCTGAGCATGCGGCCAGCTACACCGCGGACGCGCAGGCAACGGTGTTTGAGAATGGGGCTGAAGGCACCTGGCAAAAGACAGCCATCCAAGGCGTCACCCAGTGGACTAAGTGCCCAGTGGACCAAGTCGTTCAGTCAGGGTCTTTGAAGATGTTTGGCTTCACCAGCATGAACCAGAACCAGTGGATCCAGAACCAGTGGATCCAACAGAACACATAGAACGCCTGTTGTTCCCTGTCAGGTTCCCGAGATGCCTCGCTGCGAATTCGTCGGTCAATTCGCCAGCCAGGCCATCGCGCAGAAGCCGTTGAGCTCCGAGCAGCTGGAGCCTGGAGAGCTCAGCGACCGGCGGAGCCATGGCATGGCTCCGGTGGAATGGGCAACCGTCAGTACCAGACCTGTGCCGATCTGCACCACACAGGAGGAACACGGCCAGAGTTCTTGGTGCTCCAGATCTCGGCAAGGTCCTCGCATTGCAGGACCTGCTGTAGGGATTGATTGGTACTTCAGGGTACTTCTAGGGTATGCCCATCGGGAATTCGGTCGAGCGACGAACGAACAGATTGCCTGGATGAGTGCCGACAAGTCACCTGATGGATGTTGATGTCCCCATGATGCACAGCTTTACATCATCCATGGCATGTGCTTCACACACAAATCTCGTTGGTAAATGAAACATTGAAACAGAAACCAACCAACTCAATTTTAGTCAAGAAGGAGGTGTTGTATACACCATTTGCATACTACTGTATTTCCCTTCAAATGAAGCTTTCTTGCCGTAGTTGGTGAGTGTGGTCCCCAAAACATCGCAGCACACGTGTTGTTCCGGTTCAGAGAGTCCCATCCCATTCCGTCGCAATGACGGTCGGATGGATGGTGCAGTTGGTCACCGTGGTTCGAGGTTCTTCACCAGCCACGAGGCGATGCAGTTGGACTTGGAGGACGGATCGATGGTCGCAAAGTGGCGAACAGCGGGATCGAACGGGACGGGACACCGGTGACGAGTCGCGTGAGCTGTTGGTTTGACGTCTGACGTACGTCCATGTGACATGGAAGAGTTGCGCATTTGGACTTGTAGTCCTTACCCTGGAAGATGCCTACTGAGGAAGGCACCAACGGTAGCATATATTATATATATAGTGCGGTGCACTATTATAGTAAGAAGAAATGTCAATTACATTCCTCTACTAAAAAAGGGGTGCATATTCTATTTGCACGGCCCGGGGGGCAAATGGAAGATATATTTTTTGAATATGTGTTATTTTTGTGTTTATTGCATGCGTGCTGCAGTATATTCTATCTGGAGCTGATGGGGATGAAATGGAAAAAGGTGTATCACGTGGTAAGCTCAGCGACTGAGGATCAAGAGGAAATCAACAGGAATCAAAGGGAAATCAAAAGGACATTAAAAGGAAATCAAAAGGAAGTCAAAAGGAAATCAAACCGGATCAAAAGGAAATCAAAAGGACAATGAAGGGGAAATCAAAAGGAAACCAAAAGGAAAGCAAAAGAAATCAAAAGGAAACCACCAGGGAGTCAAAAATAATCAAAGATAATAAAAAAGGAATCAAAAAGACATCAAAAGGAAGTCAAAAGGAACCAAAGGGAAATCAAAAGGGATCAAAAGGAAATCAAAAGCACAGGTGGCTGCTATCGACTGCTGCTGTCAATGCGAGAAAAAGATGTTTGTCTGCTCTGGATGCTGGACATTAGCAGGAAAGTCAGCATCCACTCTTCACTCTTATTTGTTCCTATTTAATTTGTGACTTTTGTACGATCTTCTATTTGCATACGCACTGAAATGATCTTCTATGTGAAACCTTCCAATTTATAGGAACAATGAGGTCTTCGTAGGTCTTCTGTTTACAAAAAAACAGGATCATAGTCTATAATAGTGCACGGTACTATAGTTATAGACTTATCCTGGAAGATGTCTACTGCCTCACAGAGATTGGCTGTAAGAAAGGCACCAACAGTACCACGTTTGGCACTGGGAATGTCCCTTTGTTTGCCGAAATCATGCACTCAGCCCCGCTGTTTGCAAAGGAGGCACTCACACGAGCAGTGGGGAGTAAATACTACAACCTGAGTGCTCATTTGGCTGCAGCCTCAGATAAGTGTCCCTACGCACGGTATATACAGGCAAACAAAAACTGAGAAGACACCTCCGGGGACATAGTCTATGGATGTCTATATGGACGTTTCCATACCTTTCCATATGATTATGTTTTCTTGTGTGTGTGCAGTGTTTCTTTGTGACTGTTTTCATGATGGACTCTTTTTTGCATGGCATATCTTCCATTGCATTATAAGTCATGTGTTTCTGCGTCCTGTGTGTGTGCGTGCGCAAGCGTGTGACGCTTGGACCAGTGGGATCGCTTCTCGGACCGAGGTCTGGATCGGAGATCGGACCCGGCAACTGGATTGCGTGTCTTGGTGCCGCATGGATCGGGCGAGTGGGGTGCCGCAACGAAGTCGGTAGAGCCGGCAAAGGCCGCACCGACGCGTGCGATCCAAAGCGTGAACATCACGTCCATGCTCTTAAAACATGTCATTCTACGTATACGTAGCAGACGTAGCACGTACGCTATATGAATTCACATCTATTCACCAAATTGTTTCACACGTGTTTTCGTGCCACATCCAAACAGCACGAAAGTACCAGGTGCTCGATGTATCATGTATGTTGGGTTGCTTCCCCACCCTGTAGCATTCAGTACCCCCTTTGTGGAAGCTTGGAGATGGAGACTTCTTGAATTACAATCAACTGTCCGCACTTGCAGGATGGGGACCAAGCTGCAGTGAAATCAACAATTTTGCTTGGCACCGCGCCATAGACAGGTACTTCGACATGTAGCGCCAGCGATAATGACGAGATTTGAGTTCAGTTTCAGACGTTCCGATCCGTTCCTTCTCTCTAAACCCGGTTCAATCCCAGAAGATCCTCCTTTCAAATCATTCCACGATGATTTGGTACATTTTTGTATTCTGCTCAATGAGTTCAACACCCGCCCAGGCTCACATCGAATACTTCCGTGGCATTTCCAATCCCATCGGCTTGAAAGTCGGTCGGGCACCCGATCCGTCAAGACCACCTGCAGTCGTCGTCTCGAGCTTTGCAAGAAGGGGACATGTAGCCCTGTAGCTTTCAAATCCCATCTCAGAGATGGGGAACATCTCAGGACATGCTGATCTTTGATTCAATGTCTGTCCTCAACGACTCTCTCGACGACTCGACTAACGAACGACGACCGCGAGGGACGCGACGACCGCGACGGAGGGAAGCGACGAGTGAGCCAGGTCCATCCATGAAGAACGATGAGTTGAAGGACTTGGTGACCGTTCAGAGCTCAGAGCGTCTTCGGGCAGGCTCGGGGTTTGAGATTTTGGTCCATGTTTGAGTCAAGGGAGGGTCAGAGTAGTTCACAACGAACCCCCAAGCAGTGGCTTTGATGGTTCACAATGTTTGATTCTCCAACTTTGTGACTTTGTGGCCACTTTTTCTCTCGATCTCAGGTACTGAATCCCAAGAAGGAGGAGGGAAGGTGGGAAAATTCGGAGTTGGTGGGTTTCTTGGGCCTGGCTTTAGGCTGTAGTAAAGACCAACTTGGAAGATATATGCTTTAAGTTATTGTTTGCGGTGGGGTATTGGTTCCTTTGAATAGTGACCTAATGTGTTGCTATCTTTGTTTGGCAATTACGTACTTGTTGAGTTCTTGCTTGCATTTGTCGTGAATCTGCTCTCTCATTGCTTTTTACTCCTTGCCTGTGTTTCTTGGTGTCGACTTGAACATACTGTGACCCCTTTTGGATTTGTCGTCTTCAGGAGCCTCTCAGTCGGACAGTCTTATAAAGCCATAGCAGCTCTCCACAGAGCAACAGGATGTAACAAACAAGCCATTGGAAGCCAGCTCCTGAAGAAACGGGAGTTGGTGCAAGAAGACGCACATGGTCTCGCGGTATGAACTTGTCAAGACTTCTGAAGCATCCACTTGGCCGTTTCTGGAGGCTCATGCTCATCACCCGCTATGGTGCTGGCAAAGCAGAGGTGCTTTGCAATGGGCTGGGGTTCCACGGGCAGGGAATTGTGCGTGCCTCACTTAAATTGGGACCACAACATTGTATAACAGCACCTTCGAAAGGGGTCTCCAATAAAATACCTTCACGCACTATGTACATATGGATCTCTATATTATGGACACGCCTTTGGAGGTCCAAGCTACAATAGGTATGGGCCTTTTCATGAGAAACGTCAACCTTAGCGCAGATTTCTGCGGTCGCAGCGCAGCATTGCTTTGATCAACACTCCTGGCACCCACCCCAAGCCCACCACCTGAGGATCTGGTTGGAGACGCTCCATCTCGTGGCAGGCAATGCTTCCAGGCCACATCCAAGCAGCTGGGGCCTCGGTTCACGCTTCCCGTTCCGATGCCCGCAGGCGTCGCAAGATGTATTGAAAGAGTGTAGATGATGGTAAATGATCCTAAATGTCAAGTGATTATATACAAATTATGAATCTGTAGCCTGTAGCTGGCTGATTTGTTCCAGAGTTCTTTCAACTGTGAGGTGCCCCTAAAATGATCACTCCATTGATTGTTTTTGAACTGCTGACACATATTTCGAAGGGGGGGTTCGGTTACCCCAAAGAGGATCCCGCAAGAACCATGTCCGTGTCGTAGCTTTAGATGGCTTACACCCTGTGGTGCCTTTCCATCCTGATGTTTCACAATGTTCCCCAAAAGTGCAGAACATTGCAGCAGTAGAACTTCAGAACAGCAGTTATAGTTATAATTCTTAAAAAGAATCAGAACATCTCCAGCTGTAGACAAGCTTTGGAACATCAGGCATCCTAGGGCATCCCAGCTTTGGCCTGCTTTCCCTGTCGGATTCGTCCCCGAAAAACTCGGTTTCAACACGAACGGCTGCAGGTGAAAGAGAGCGGAGTGCCAGTCACCTGGCGGGCAGCCCCGGTGAACCTTTTGGACATCGTATTCAGCTACAACCTATCAACGGTTCAATGTTCAATTTGCGCTAGCCAAGAGGTCGAGCCTGTGGCCGCCATCTAATTCCCGCAGCCAAGTGTGCAGGTGATCTGCTCCACCTATCAACGGTCCAAGCACAAACATGTTCAGTCGTGTTGCACAGATACTGACACAGAGAGAGAGAGAGAGAGAGACCTCCACACTTTAATTGTCAGCCCATTGGGCGAAGAGAGCTCATTGCAGACATGTGTATACTAATCCCATCAAATCCCACTCTAGCATGGGCAGGCCTGACAACAACTGATGGAGATTTTTGGATATTGCGGGCTGTTTGGGATGTATTCAGCGTATGCGATTGCTTTTTCCAATGCACATCCCATTTCAAAAACACTATGTTTATATCTGTTCCACTTTGCTTTCTCGCTCTTCTCGCCTTCCTTTCATCCCCAACCCAGTCCCCAACGCCCGCACCGTGAGTCCTTTCAACCCAGTCCCCGTAAAAAAGAAAAACGAACTCGACCAGATCGATGCGAACTCGAGGCAGTGTGATGGGGTGCATGGCAATGGAGTTGTGGCGAGCAATAAGCTGAAGACCCGCACCTTGGATCCACCAGATTCGGGG